TTCCATTTCATATTATGTAGAGATTCTGTGCATCTAGAAACTCTCCGCTCTTTTGTTTTTTGGGGTTTTTTTTGCCTTTTCATACTATACTCATGGGTCTCTACCTGTGTATCTGATTATACCTGTTTTCATTGAAATAAACCGTGTTGGTCCTGATGCTAAGTACATTTCCTATGTTATTATGTCAGCTCTGAGAAATAGGTATGATTATATCAATTTTACAGTGAAGTAATGGCTTTCAAGAAGTCAGGCCAAAATAAGGTTGCTTCTAAGTGGAAGAGACCAGAATCAAATGTAGGCACAATAGCAGAGCGGCCATGCTGTCAGCCACCATGCCTTCCGGGAGAGTACAGATTCATGCAGTACTTAGAAGTATGGAGTTTTGAGTTTTGTCCTGTGCTCTCTCAGAGAATCTTAAGGTACAGTCTTTGCCGTTGGGGAGCTCGGACTTTGTTGAACATTGAGCTTTTTTTTCCCCATAGGAATAACTCAGCCTAACATTCAAGATCTTCTTAACAGTTGTTCCTACTTTGTTATTTTTCAATTATCACCAAACGGACCTCAACCCCTGCCAGGCCCATGTTCTTTTTCATTTTTTCCATACTTCTTGTTCTTGGCTTTACCTTTGTGCCATCATCCCAGTCTGGAAAATCCTTTTTATGTCCAATTCCTGTTGTCTTTCTAGGGTCTAGCTCAAGCTCCACTCCTCTAAATAATTTTAACCTTTACCAAACCAGTTTTGTATTGCTCTCTGGCTACTTCTAATGTGAATATCTTGGTTCGCCAGCTAGAACATAGACTCCTTGGTGACAGGGGATTCTGTTTTTCTTCACTTTCACACTTTCAGGGAAAAGGTCACAGCGGGTATTACACATGACTGTCTTCATGTGACCTGTTGTAGTTCACTTTATTCATTCCAGGTGCTTAGTAACTCATACTCTTGTGGCAGAATTTTCNCAAGAAGAGTTGAGGCCTGTTAAAAGTTAGTTGTAACTATATCTACTTTTCCTCTCACTGCTCATCTTAAGGAAGATCAAAACCCCTTGTATTCTGAACTTCAGTTAGTTAAGGGTTCTTAAGGAAGTGTTGAAATGAGAACTGTCTCTTTATTTTAGGTGAAAAACTTTATCTATTAAACCAAACTTTCACATGTGGTATCTTTATAAAGGTTAAATATTAATTTGAGGATAAAGAGGATTCTGTTTTGAAAGGAAAGAATTTTATTTAAGTTTCTCGGTTACTTAAGTATTTGTAAAAATTATCTTTAAATCTTATCTACCTTCCCCCCATTCTGTTTAGATTCTCTTCCTGGACATTCTGTTGCCCTCTGTTTAGCTGTTGCTTTTAAAAGTAAGGCAACCAATGATGAAATCTTCAGCATTCTGAAAGATGTACCAAATCCTAACCAGGATGATGATGATGGTAAGGGAATTAAATATTTCTTGAGTGGAACTACATATAGGCCAAGGTAAAGGATAAACATGACTCGGGTAATATGAGTTCCTCTTAAATCCCATTAGATGCTAATAAAGCAACATATCTATTTGGCCTGTTCAGCCTGTCAATTGTTCGTAGAACCTAGGTATTTTCTCTTTATATAACAAGAGATCCTAACATCCATGCAAAATAGCTTACATTAAGAATGCAAACTGCATCCTAAATACAAAGTAAAATGTACTGTTATCATTCAAGGATTTTTTAAGCATTACCTGCTTTCACCTGCTTCTCAGACTTGTTGTATGATAAAGTTGGAAGTTTTCTTCAAATTAATCTATTATAATAATAATGTTTAACATTTACTGAGTATATACTATATGTAATTCAACCAGAATCCTAATTTTCTTCCTGGGCAAGAATGGGAAAATTGACAAAATAATTTTTAAGTTTACCTGAATCAGTAAATGGATAAGGAAAAAAGTGATGAGAGGGATGTGCCTTATTACATATTAAAACATACTGTGAAAATTATAGTAACTAAAACAATGTGGTACTGGCACAGAAAGAGACAGATCAGTAGAACAGATAAGTCTACTGGGACACCTGGGTTACCATCTGGGGTGGGGGGATTTTTTTGTTAGATTCCTACATAGGGACATACATGTAGAAAATGACTTAAGAATGAAAATAAAACATTAATAGTCTGGGTGTTTGTTACTGGGATTTTTTTTTGTTTGGATTTCTCCAAGAAACTTATATTATGATTTTAGAGAAAATGTATTTAGAAAGCATTAGTCAGAATGAGATATTAAATTTAGACATTGTCAGACGTCTTAAGACATAGGCGTAAGAGTTAAGGGTTTATTTTGGGGGGTGGGA